GGGGGATGCCAAACCAAGAATCCTTTACCCTGCCAAACTATCCATCAAGATAGACAGAGATGTAAGAGTCTTCCCAGACAAAGAAAATCTCAAAAAATATATATGGTAAAAGAACCCCAGCTATAGAAAAAAATTCCTTCCACCCATCTCTGGTCAGAAGTACAACATGCATTGAGCACACATAGGAGACCACCACACGCAGCAACTCTACCTAGATGTCAACACATCAAAAAGAGCCACCAAGATAACATTAACTCAACGGTAAAAAGAAGGTAAGAATGAACCCTCCACTCCCCACACACATGCGCATGCGCATACAGAGAGAACATAATGGCAAGAAGGGAGATCGGTAAATGCACAACACAAAAGGTATGAGATCACATCACAGAGTTCACATATGGATGTAATAACTCTGAATATCAATGGATTGAACTCATCCATTAAAAGAGACTAGCAGACTAGATTAAAAAACATACCCTCATGGATCTGTTGTCTACAAGAGACACATCTCAAGCTCACAGACAAAAGAAGGCTGAGAATTAAAGGCTGGTGAAAAATATACCAAGCAAATGGCAATTCAAAGAAAAAGGGTTCAATGCTATTCTCTGAAAACTCTTCTCAAGGTGCAAGCCATAACTAGAGATAAGGAAGGCATTATATAATGATCAAGGGATCAGTAGACCAAGAGCCAGTGAGCATAATAAATATATATATGTGCCGAATGAAAGACCCACAAAATATATCAATCAAATGCTACAAAAGATGAAAAAAAGAAATGACAAGACTCAATAATCATAGGAGGGGACTTTAATACACCATTCTCCAAGAAAGCTAGAGCACAGTGAAAGAAGCTTAACAAGGAAGCAATATAAATAAACTCTATAATTAGGTGACTTGACCTAAAGAACATTTTTACAGCTTTTTTCACCCCAATTGAAAAGTATTCACGTTCTTTTCAAGCACTTAATCAAAGACAGACTACATGCTGGGGCACAAGTTGAGCTTGAGTAAATTCAAACACAGAGATCACTCAGACTTCCCTCTCACTAAGTAATAAGGTTGGAAATCAACAAAAGGATGGTTAAGAAAACAAGGGCAATTAATCGGAGGATGAATAACTCCCTACTGCAAAAGTGAGTGAGTACTGGCCCAGATCATTGATGAAATTAGAAAGTTTTTAGAAACCAATGAGAATAAGAATCCAACATACCCAAATTTTTGGGACGCAGCAAAATCATTTAGCAGAGGAAGCTTGATAGCGATAAATGCACCCATGAAAAAGGAAGAGAGACATGACTGATACTGTCAAAAAGTCTCCAGAAATTAGAACAGCGTCAACAGAATAATCCTAGTACTAGCAAAAGAAAAGAAATAATGAACATTAAAGCAGGGATAAACTAGTGGGAAAACAAGGAAACAATGCAAAAAAAATCAATGCAGCAAAAAATTGGTTCTTTGTGAGAATTAACAGAATTGATAGACTGTTGGCAAACCTAACCAAAGAAAGGAATAATCATCAATAGCAAGGTTGAGGGATTAACTGAGGACAATTACAATGGACTCTAATGAAATTCAAAGGTTAATTACACAGTACTATGAAGGCCTGTACTCCAATGAATTCAGCAACTTTGGAGACATGGAAAAATACTTGGAAAACCAATCCCTCCCTAGATTACCCCCAGATAGATGTAAAGAACCCCAACAAACCAATAGAATGAATAGATAATATTATCAAGGGACTACAAACTAAAATCCCCTGGGCC